CGGCTAGGAGTTGGTCAGGCTACTTGGCACATGAAGTTGAGAATCAAGAATTCCAGTAGCCGTTAGGCATTTGTTTCTGTATTTTATCGTTTCGAGCAAAACAAAACGCGCAGTTCGCCCACAGCGGTCAAGCTGACCTTTGGTATTACCCACACGGTTATACAGGTGTATACAGGCTTGCCTACCCAAAAAAAGCAGATAGCGCAACCACCTACTAACAGGGGGGCTGTGGTCATCTGCGTGTCTTTCGTGACAAAGGAAAGTCACGCATTTCAGGCGTTTTGAAAGGAACTCCGCTAGGGCCGTTGGGACCCACGAGAAGCTTACCGCGTATCCGGACTCAATCATCGGTAGCACACGTCTCAAACCTGCACTTTTGGGCTCGATTCCCCATGATAGGATATGGTTGTGAAGGGATTCGAACCAATGGTGGCTTTCCTTGTGGTCCCCTTGTGAAAGGCGCACGCTCCAAAAAAATCACAAACCCAGGTTGTTCCCTTAGGCGCCAGGTCCAGATGTCAATGTTCGTTCAGGAAGCCGGGCTGGTATGCGGTGTGCGGCGCCGCCGACAATGACGGAGTGTTGGAGGACGGCGAGATCGAGATAGGCGCGGAGTTGAGGCTCTTGGCTTGCGGCTTCGCTATGGGGGTGTGATTTTCTGAGGGTACTCTGTTATGCTAGGTTTGAAGGGAAGCCAAACGGAAAACCGCCACTTGTTGTGTCTCCCATATTGTTACACATTTCCAGACTCAATATCAATAATTGGGTTTGACGATCCACCGCCTTCAAAGCGATGCTCCGGTTGAGTGCTAGCCCCAGAACCCAGGTGGGTTGCTTCCTGTTTCATCCTCAACAATCAACGACAAAGCACTGCCCTACGCCCACTCCCACCTTTAAAATCTACCAACAGAAGTATTGCCCGTTTTTCCCTCGCCTTGCCACTGGCGGTCGGGAGTAGCGCTCAGGTGTGGCCTCGGCGCCCTGGGTGGAGGGCGCCCCATACCTCCACCAAGAGGGCGGCCCAGGAGCGCAGCCGGAGGCGCGTGGGAAAGACCGGAGCTGGGGATATCTGGGCTGATGTCTTCAAAAGACTGATACGTCATTTCA